TCAAATGTAAAACAAGCTTGCATTTTTGAGAAAAATCCCAATTGGTTGCGGTATGTAATCCTTTTTATATATTGCTAGATTCAGTGTGCTAGTATTTTATTGAGGATTTTGTGTTCACATTCCTAAGAGATACTGGCTTATAGTTTTATTTTCTTTTAATATCTTGTACAACTTGATATCAATATAATATTGACTTCATAGAATGAGTTGAAAAGTGTTCCTTCCTCTTCTAGTTTTTGGAAGAGATTGTGAAGAATTAGTATTAATTCTTCAAACATTTGATGGAATTTCACCAGTGAAGTAAAAATAAAGCTTCAGCTTTTTTTGAGTCATTGTTGGAACTTTAGCAATTACTTATTCAATATAATTTTATATGTATATTCAGCTTTTAAAATTTATTCTTTGATCAGTTCCAGTAGTTTATGTCTTTTTAGAAATTTGTCCATTTCATGTAGGTTATCTAATTTGTTGCTATGTCATTGTTCACATTATTCCTATATAATTCTCTTTATTTTTGTAAAGTTATTAGTGATACTCTTTCCTTCATTTCTGATTTTTGTTTTTTTGAGACACAGTCTTCCTCTGTAGCCCCAGGTAGAGTTCAGTGGCATCATCATAGCTCACAGCAACGTCAAACTCCTGGGATGAAGCTGTCCTCAACTACCCCAGCTACCTCAACCTCTCAAGTATCTGGGACTACAGGCAGGGGCCAAACACCCAGCTAACTTTTCTATTTTTAGTAGAGATGGGTTCTCGTGCTTGCTCAGGCTGATCTGGAACTCCTGAGCTCAAGTAATCCTCCTGTCTCAGCGACCCAGAGTACTGTGATTATAGGTGTGAGCCATTGCTTCTGACACATTACCAATTTTAATAATTCCAGTTTCTCTTTTTGTCTTAGACACTTCAGCCAAAGTTTTGTGAATTTTGTTGACTTTCCCCCAAAGAACCAACTTTTGTTTTTGTTTTCCCTTGGCTTTCTATTCTGTATTTTGTTAATTCTTATTCTAATCTGTTTTATTTCCTTCCTTTTACTTGCTTTGGGTGTAGTTTGCTCTTCTTTATTCACTGTCCTAAGGTGGAAGGCTAGGTTCTTGATTTGAGATTGTTCTATTTTACATAAGCATACAAATTTCCCCCAAACTCTGCTTTGGGTTGCATTTCATATGTTATGGTATGCTATGTTTTTATTTTCACTCATCTCAAAATATTTTCTAATTTCCTGCTTGATTTTCTCTATTACTCATTACTCATTGGAGTATTGGGAGTATGTTGTTTACTGTCCATGTATTTTTGACTTTCCCAAGTATTGTTATTGACTCTAATTTTGTTCCATCATGATCTGGGAACATACAGTAGAACTTCTGTAAGTTGACCACCTAAGGAACTGTAACAAACTGGTCAGCATATGGGTATGGTCAACATGTAGGAACTAGGCTCACTGTACTAACCCATGTGTGTGTTGCATGTCCAGTCTATGAAAATTGGATCAACTTAAGGAAGTAGTCAATGTAGGGAGGTAGTCAACTTAGAGGTTCTACTGTATTTTATATGAATTCACTTCTTTTAAATTTATTTTTAGCTTATTTTATGTTCTAGGATACACTATGTGCTGTTCTGGAGAAGGTCTCATATGTACTTGAGAAGAATGTACATTTTGTTATTGTTGGATGGGTTGTTTTTTAGGTATCTTTTAGGTTTAGTTGGTTTACACTGTTCAAGCCTTTTATTTCTTTCGTTGATTTTTTACTTAATTGTTTTATTCACTGTTGAAGTTTGTATCTTCTACTGTTTATTCCTGAACTGCTTATTTCTCTTTTTAAAATTAAGAAAGGTTCTGATATTTTTCAAAAATATGTAATTGAGTTGATTTTAAGAAAACTTATTTGTATATTGATAAAAGTCTAATTTCTAAAGAAAAAATGTCACTTTTTGTATTTTGGTGGCTTTTTTGTTAGTTGCATATATGTTTATACTTGTTATATTTTCCTGATGCCTGGACACTTTTTTCATTGTAAAATATCTTTTTTCACTAGTAATATTTTTTGTTTTGAAGTTTATTTTGTGATATCAGTATAACCATTCTGGCTTCCTTATGGCTACTATTTGCCTAATGTATCTTTTTCCATGCTTTTCTTTTCAACTTATTTATATTTCTAAATCCAGGTTTATTATCAGGTCTCTCAATTAGTGTTTAAAATTATTTTGCACAAATGGTCATTTTTACCACTGACAATGTTAGCTATAATATATGGATGACTTATTCAATTTTTTATAAGTTATCAAATTATTATTATTAATAATTATTTAATGTTCATACATTTCATATTTTTATTTTGTGTAATATAATGCCAGTTTTAAAACATTAATTAGGCATAGTCCCTCCTTTTCAGGAAAAGTATAATATAAAGAATTATTATCTTAATTATTCCTATCAGTCTGAGAAATATAGCAGATAAAATATGATAAAATATGATCAATGACCCTCTGTGCAGTTGAAAATCTTCATATAACTTTTGACTCCTAAAAAACTTAGCTTCTAATAACTATACTGTTGACCAAATGTTTACTCATAATGTAAATGGTTGATTAACAACGTATTTTATGTTTTATGCTTTATATACTGTATTCTTACCATAAAGTAAGCTAGAGAAGAGAAAAATCTTATTAAGAAAATATAAGGAAGAACAAACATATTTACTGTTCATTAAATGGAAGTGGATTATTGTAAGGTTTTCTTTTCTTTTCTTTTTTTTTTTTTTTTGAGAAAGAGTCTCACTATGTCACCCTTGGTAGAGTGCTATGGCATCACAACTCACAGCAAACTCAAACTCTTGGGCTTAAGCAATTCTCTTGACTCACCCTCCCAAGTAACTGGGAGGTGCCCACCACAACGCCTGTCTATTGTTTTGTTGTGTAATGTTATTGTTGTTTAGCTGGCCCTGGGCCTGGTTCAAACCTGCCAGCCTTAGTGCATGTGGCTGGTGCCGTATCCACTGTGCTACAGGCACTGAGCCTATCATAAGGTTTTTATCCTCATCTTCCTGTTAAGTAGGAGGACGAGAAAGAAGAAGAGAAGTGGTTGGTCTTGCTCTGTCAAGGGTGGCAAAAATTAAACAGGTAGAGAAAGTAGAAGGAGAAGCAAGAGAGGCATGTACAATTAAGGTAACTTTTATTGAAAAAAATCTGTACATAAGTGTATCCGTGCAGTTCTAACCTGTTTTTTTCAAGGATCAACTGTATATTCATTTTATAGTGAGAAAGATGATATCTATAAACTTAAATTTGAACTTGGCTCTCATTTTTATTATATTACATAATTTTCAATATCAGTGTCAAATTTAATTTTAAATTTTCTCATTCAAACCATTATGTTGCAAGTTTTGACAAAAATAATATGTAGAAGACTGCCATATAGTCCCAGTTTTCTTTCTTTCTTTCTTTTTTTTTTTTTTGAGACAGAGCCTCAAGCTGTCACCCTGGGTAGAGTGCTATGGCATCACAGCTCACAGCAACCTCCAACTCCTGGGCTCAAGCGAGTCTCCTGCCTCTGCCTCCCAAGTAGCTGGGACTACAGGCGCCCGCCACAATGTCTGGCTATTATTTGGTTGCAGACATCATTGTTGTTTGGCGGGCCTGGGCTGGATTTGAACCCGCCAGCTCAGGTGTATGTGGCTGGCGCCTTAGCCACTTGAGCCACAGGCACCAACCCTAGTCTCAGTTTTCATGGTAATATCGTCTTTGAAATTGTGTTGAAAGTAGGGAAAAATAAGCTTTGCCATTATGTGGTCTCATTTACTTGTTTTTAACATTTTTAGTACTCCTGTAAGATGATTAACCTAGTTTATGTATGGGGTTCGGAAAAGGAAAAGTTAGATTCTAAAAGTAATTCGACAGCAGCTAGAATTAATAAAGAGGTGAATGAATGAATGTATCAACCCGATGAAACGTGAAGTGTGGGTCTTTTAGGTCTTCTGTTCAGTGAAAGCTTTAGCAGACTTAAAATAATGAAAATTACAAACTGTCTGATTTGACAATGACTAATGATAATGTTGATGATAATTTTGGAAAGTAATTCTTGTAGAGTACTTAAGGCCCTGGCATCTTTACATGTGGTGCAACAATCAGATTGTCAAATGAGACTGACATGAATTGGAGATGTTAATCAATACCAAGCCCTCCCTATAATTTCAAGGATACAAGCAATCAAAAGGCACAGGAAAAGCAGAGAGAGGCCCTGGATATCTAGAGAGCCTCCTAGAGTCTTACCATAGTAGACAAAACTCTGATGCCCAGAGCAGTAGATAAGAGCCTTAATGAAGCACTTCAGTTATCTAACACAGAAGGGAGCAAGCATCCCAGGCTGTGAAAAATCTCCATTTTTTACCCAGATAGTTGTTTAGCTCATGCCCTATGCCCCATCCCCTGTGCCATAAATATAGAGATTTTAGGTTTGTTTATCATAGTAATCCTAAACTAGCAGCATCCTGCTAAAAGCCGTTTATGGATAATTTTTAAAAGATATTTTAAGTACGTACCATTAGCATATTTACCAACTAGTAGTGCAATTATAAGATTAGCTCAAATCTTCTGCCTCCTTTTTTTTTCCTGTGAGAACCTTTCACCCAACAGGAGAAAAATACTGATTTATTCCTTTCCTCCCCCAAAGATTACCTCACTGTAATTGAAATTCACTTGTTATTTATTTTTTAATTATAAACAAGATAAGATATATTAAGAAGGAATTAAAGCACATCTGAAACATCATTTATTTTACTTGGTTTAGTTTGGTTAATAGGGGCTGGGAGAGAAATACAGTAAGAGAGTAAATGTAAATATATTTTTATCTCCAATGGATATCCACGATAGTGTTTTGTGTGTATGTGTGTCTGTATACTTCACATGTGATTCTTTCTTCTATTTGCTCTTAGAATAGTTGAGAAATCATATAATGCTTTTAATTTTTAATTTCTCTGTTTTTCTCAACCCAACCCTCAATGCAGGATGGTGATCCAGTTCGCCCAGGAGTGGCTATGACTGATCTTGCCACTGGCCTGTATGCATATGGAGCCATTATGGCTGGATTGATACAAAGATATAAAACCGGAAAAGGACTGTTCATTGATTGTAACCTACTGTCATCTCAGGTACCAATCTAATAACATTTTAGATAATGGTATAAAAACTGTCTCTGTGTTTAATCTTTTCAGGTAAAATCCTATGATTACATGTACTAAAAATTATATATTTTTTTTGCGGTTTTTGGCCTGGGCTGGGTTTGAACCTGCCACCTCTGGCATATGGGGCCAGTGCCCTACTCCTTTGAGCCATAGGCACCACCTTACTAAAAATTTTTTTAAAAAACTCTTTTTAAAAACGAAAGAAAAAACAAAAGCTCCTTTGTTTTGATGTATGTGTTTCATAGTAAAATAAATGGAGTAGAAAATTTTGTTGTAATGTAGACATTATTGTTGGAATAAAATTTTGTAGGCTTTTTTAATGTAATCGGTCCATTACTGTTTGTGAGACAGGAGTAGAATTATTTCTGTTTTATCACATTAGCTTTGAAACTTCCTTTTTTTTTTTTTTTTTTTAAATTTTAAGTAAATGTATTTCAGGTTTATGTGGGGGTACAAGCAACCAGGTAAGAACATTTGATTTTGTTAGGTATAGTTTGTCTTATGGTTATGTCTCACATATAAAAGATATGCCAACACCGCCCCCCCCACTCGGCGCATTCAGTGAGAACACCCAATCCCTTCTCCTCCCTTGTTTAAGGTGACCAGATTTTAACATTGGTAAAGTGGGACACCACTGACCGTAGGGGGGATTGGGAGGGTGGAGGAGGGAGGAGGGGTGTTCTTAATTAAAAATTTGGTCTATATGGAGCAATAAAAATTTTCATAGACCGCAAAAACGGTATTGTAATATATATATTTTTAATTTCAACATAAGTACAATTTACAAATATAATACATTTAAAAAAATTATGTATAGGGTGGCACCTGTGGCTCAAAGGAGTAGGGCCCCGGTCCACCTGGGCGACCTTGCCCAGGTGGGGAGTAGGGAGTTTACATTAGCCTTTTCGTTTCCAAATGGAGTTACATTAGCCTTTTCCATATATTCCCTTCCCATCGTCCTGCTGTTTCCTAGCTTGTAGTGCATTCTTTCCAAAAATTGGGACTTTTTAAAAACTTCGTGGGATTCAGGACAAATTATTAAAAATTGGGATTGTCCTGCCAAAAGTGGGAAGTCTGGTCATCTTACCCTTGTTATCCCTCCCCCCAGCTTGAATTGAAATGAGTTTTTCTCCTATTTGGGCATGCATTAGATTGTCTACTGGCTTCATATTAGTATTGAGGTGAAACTTCTTTTGACTAGTTGTTTTATTTTTTATGTGCCATGGACCCCTTTGGTACTCTGGTAACATCTGTGGTCCTTCCCTTGGAATTATGTTTTGGTTTTTTTTTTTTTTTTGAGTCTCAAGCTGTCACTCTGGGTAGAGGGCTGTGATGTCACAACTCACGGCAACCTCAAAGTCTTGGGCTTAAGCGATTCTCTTGCCTTAGCCTCCCAAGGAGCTGGGACTACAGGCACCTGCCACAATGCCTGGCTCTTTTGTTGTTGTTGTTGTTATTGCAGTTGTCATTGTTGTTTTAGCTGGCCTGGGCCAGGTTGGAACCTGCCAACCTCGGTGTATGTGGCTGGTGCCCTATCCACTGAGCTACAGGCGCTGCCTGGAATTATGTTTTTAAACACATAGAATGAGATACTTTGGATTACAAAGGAAGCCAGTTATATTGAAATATAGTTATTCAATATAAAAATCAAATTTGTTTTAAAATATATATAATTTTTATTCAATGTACCAAGTATATTTGTGTCATACATATAATTGTTACTAACACATTAAACTACAAGGTTTAGCAGTGGGTTGAATACTATTATAATTTTATGGTAGTATTGAGCATAAATGATATTTCAAGATATCTGTAATAACTGTGATATGATATGAAATATGTGTGATATTAGTGATCAATTCAAATGTACTATGAGTACTTTTGTGATTTGTTGTTTGCATTCATAATTGAAGAAAATGCTAAATTTTAGAGGTTGAAGATAACGACAGAATTTTCTTTCACTTGAGTTGATTAAATCCTAGAAATATGTCCATTGACTCCAGATTAAAAACTTCTAGTTTAGATAGTTATCAATTATGTTATGCTACATACTAAAGTGGTAGAATAAAAATGTTAACTCACTCTGAAAATGACATTTTGCCTCCTTTATACTGGGTCAGACCCAGATGCTGTACCATATGTGGAAGTTGATTCTGAATAGATAATTTTTCAGGGATAGAAAAAGAAAATATCTAATTTGTGCAGAGACATTTTACTGTGGGAAAAACTACTTTCTGGACACAGAGACCTCAGTTGGGAATTTCAGATTTAAAAGGCATACATGGGAAAATAGTAAACTTGGAACACTGCTTTGGACAGTTTTTTCTCTTAGGCAAAATTAGGGAGGTGTATGGAAATAAAAAACATCAATATGGTTGAAGATAAAATACTACATATGGGTTTTTACATAACAGTAGCTTTGAGTCACAGTCAGACTTTTAATGGTTCTGTAAAAGGGTAAACAACTCTCCTCAAATGAATGATCTTGCTCCTTCATAGAGAACCACAGATGTTAGTTATGGGAAGGAACTGAAAGTCTTTTTCTTCTTTCCCCTAATTTTATAGCTGTAAGGAATCTGAGTAAGTTTAGTGACTAGATAAAAGTTGCACATCTAATAAGTGTGGAAGCCATGGGGGTTTCATGGGTATGTGATTTGTAGTGTTGTAGAGAGCTCTTTAACTTTAGTTAAAAGTTCTGTTATCACTGCCTTGACATTTTTAATGATTTTTTAAACAAGAGGCCCTATAGTTTTCATTTTGCACCAGGCCTCACAAGTTATGTAGCAGGTCCTAGAGTTGAGACTTTACTTAGGTCTCGAGCTATACCTAGACTGGTTTACTCTATACTTCAATGATTGATTAATTAGCTTTGGAAAAAATTCTCTTGCATTATGCAGTTCAATTCTCTTCCAGCACCTAACTAGTGATTCACCACGTGAAGGTGTGTGTTTCCCTGTGGGTAGAGTTGGGGGAGCATGGCATTACCTGCAGAATTGTTTTAAAGTGAGGACACAATGAGAGCAAACTCATGCATCCGTATATGAGGTATCGGGGTGCATGTGTGTATCTGTTTTTATTGTTCATGTTGTTCCTTGAGACTGTAAGTTCCATGAGTGCAGGGGCATTGTTTCTATTTGTTTACATGGTATCCTCGATGCCCGGTCTAGTGTTTGTCAAATAACAGGTTTTCTCTATCTTTGGAGATCAATGGGAGAACAACTGGTATCGATGAGAATGTAACTGCTAGGTTTGCTAAGATGAGAGAAAGGTAGAAAAACACTGACTTAGGATAAGTACCTGACAAACAGCTAATATTGAGATAATTTGCTTTTGTACTATCATACAGTGATTTGGTCTATTCTACTGTTATTAACCAGTCAAAATTTGCTAAAATTATTTTATTTAAGTCTCATGAATTATCTCCTAACAAAAAAATCCATAATGTCTTGTTTTAGAGCTATGCACTTTCACATCTTCTATTTTATTATATGATCCTCACAATAAACAATCACTTGAGGTAGGTGGGTAGGGAAGGAATTTTCATTCCTATTTTGCAAGAAAACTGAGGTGAAGAGAGGTTTACTTGTTTGAGCATCAGAGTCACAGCAAGAGCTCTCATTCTGACATCCCAACTGGCTCTCTTCCCTAATTCATTAAAGTAAAAGCTCTGTCACTGAGAGGCAGGCAAGCTCTAGGGGTGTCCAACCTATGGCCCACCTGCTTCATGAGGATACAAGGTGGTAGATATCATGAAAAGTATGCACAGACCTTTTGCTCATCAGGTTTGTTAGTCTTTGTGTATTTAACATGTGGCCCAAGATAACTCTTCTTCTTTCACTGTGGTGCAGAGAAACCAAGTTTGGAGACCCCTGTGAGTCTAGGCTTTCCTGTGGTAAAGCTTCAGGGAGAAGGTAAATTGAGTAGGAGGCAGAGAAAGCAATAGAGTACTCAATGACAAACACATAGCAAGGTTCTCATCCCACCTCATACACAAAACATATAAGGAGCCATAAAAAGATAGTGTAAGAAAATGGGTTCTTCTGGATTGTCACCCACCATGTTTTGATCCAATGAGTGAAGACTATCATGGAGTTTCACTGACAGACAAGTATTTCTATTGAAATATTAAAACTTTCAGAAAAACAGCATTTGAAGTCATAGGATGAGTGGACTTTTTGTTTCAGTTCTAGTCAATAGAGCACCTCTTCTTGTGCCCCAGGCTCTGTGCTAGCTGGGCTATAAAAGAGAAGAAACACATCTATTCAGGGCAGAGGCAGCTAGATCAGATGGGAGAGCTGAAGGTGATTATGTGAGCTATAGCTTGAAGGATGAGTATGGGTTCACCAAATTGGGGGTGAGAGAGATGGGTAGTCCTGGCATAAGTAATGGCAAATGTGAGGGGAAAGAGCTATGACAAAGCCGGAGCTTGGAATATGAGCAGGGAATGGCAGTAGACAAGGTCAGAAATTTGGTTAGGCCAGGATTGTTAGGGTTCTTATATATCTTGCTTAAGAATTTTGATTTGAATTTATCAAGGCTCCTATTTCTCTATCTGTAAATTTTATTAGGTGACGGTCTTTTCAACCAGGAATGTCTTTTTACATATTTGCTACATCCGCCCCATTCAGAAATAGTCTCAGGGCTATGAGCAGTGGCTGGAGAGCTACAAAGGGCTCAGATAATTTATGCTAAAGCTTACCCAAAGTACAAGGCCATGGGTGATAAGAACATTTTCATTCTCCAAATCCACCCTGGCCTGTGCTCTGTTTTTCTTTTTTCTTTGTCTCTGCCCTATTTCTTGTTTGTCGGATCCCTCTTTTCTCCTCATATGGGGTTCTCAGCCTGGGCATCTCTTTTCTTCCCTCTTTTTCTTTCTTTACTCTCCTGTTTTCACTCCTCTTCTATGCTCTCTGCCTTTTCTTTCTTTTCTTTTCTCTCCTTCCTTATAGAACAGTGGTTCTCAACCT